AAGCTCAGGCAGGCATCCTCCTGTAGAAAACAGGAGGTGGCAGGTGCTAGTGGTTACCACCCCTCAGCTGAGACAGGAACTCGGGCTGTATGAATACACTGCCTCTCATTCACTCCACCCTAACCTAAGCTGTTTGATTGCAGGTATCAGCACAGCAATTTTAAGACATACAGATCTTTGTGCACAGCAGAAATGCCTCTGGACATGTGACAAATGCTAGACGCAGTTAAGAAACTTGTTGAGCACAGGTTCTAACTGTAGTCTCACTGAGCCAAAAACTATGGCTGAGAGCTTTGGCTCAAATGCGCAATGGATGCGGAGAAAGTCTTGGGCAAGAAACTGAGAAGCAAAAAAGAAAAGAGAGGAAAAGGGAGGAAAAGGGAGGAAAAGGGAGGAAAAGGGAGGAAAAGGGAGGAAAAGGGAGGAAAAGGGAGGAAAAGGGAGGAAAAGGGAGGAAAAGGGAGGAAAAGGGAGGAAAAGGGAGGAAAAGGGAGGAAAAGGGAGGAAAAGGGAGGAAAAGGGAGGAAAAGGGAGGAAAAGGGAGGAAAAGGGAGGAAAAGGGAGGAAAAGGGAGGAAAAGAGAAACAGCAGGATTCCTTTTCCTGACTCTTACAATGACATTAAGTCACGTGGAGAGGAGAAATGGGGATTGACTGTACATTTCCTCTTCTCATAAGGCAGCTAAAGGTTACCAAATAAAGCTAGCAAATGGCACACAAAAAAGGAGAGAGTTCTTTCAAATAAAATACAGTTACCCTGTAGGCTTCCTTGCTACGAGATGTTATAGTAGGTGAGAATTTGTACTGGATAAATTCAAAGATAATACTCAAGGATACCACCGACCTAAACATGACCACATAGTCAGAGGATTTTGGATTGAACAGTCTCAGAGGGTGAGCTGCAATGCTTCTACACATCTCTGCTTGAGCACTCAACAGCCAGTGCTTGGAAGAACCACCTTCAACCTGGGGAGCGCCTAAATGCTGATGTTGAAAACGCTGATGTTGAAAATGCTGTTAAAAACGTGTGAATTGCAGCACAAATACCAGGAACTGCACTAAGATTATTTCTGAACTGTCGAACTACTATAAGAGGGGGAATGCGCCTTGTGGTCATATTTACTGTCCCTCTGAGTTGACTTCAAACAAGTACCAGGAGAGAAGCTCTATCTCCTATACCCCAGGCCTTTGCACCATCCAGCACTCATCATACTCCACTTTATTGAACGTGAATGCTACCAGCAGCAGGGTTATAGCTCATAAAACGCCAAGCAGAGGGAAATCTCTTGACTTAAAAATAGCTACCATTCTATTTAGTAAATGTACCCATTATTTAATTAACCAATCAGATGGCAAAACAAAGGTGAATATCT